AGGTGGAGCTCAAGCTTAAGCTCCCCCTCGCTGGAGCTCAGCTCTCCTCAAATGGCTCTGCAGCGAGCACCACTTGAAATAATTCAGCAGAAATTCGCAGGTTTTTACCAAAATTCTCCACAGAAATATCAAAAAATGTCTGCAGATTCTGTCTGCCCCTAGCAATAACACAGGCAAGCCAGTGGTAGGGACAAGATGGCAATAAAAATGAACAGCCAATCAGGAGTAGCAGCAACAGTAGTCAAAACCAGAGCTAGATCCTGGAGCAAGCCAAGTAAACTTAAGACTGGCAGGACAGGGAAGTCTGGACACAGGATAGGACTGGAAAACACACAAAGACAGGACATCAAACAGGCAGCAATAGTATACAACAAAACTAACTAAATCTAAAAGAAAATATGAAATCCTAGGGAAAAAAACAGAACTAAACTGACTTGGGCAATCAGATAAAACAGAAACTGAAATAAAAACTTCCAAAGTCTCAAAGAGAGAAATTAAACAAACAAAAAAAAATAAATAAATAATAATAATAATAATAATAATCAACTATTAGTACAAGACTGGGAATGGCAGAAAAATGGAACAAAAATGGTTCTAAAGATAAAAGTAAGACGATGATTAGAACACTAAATTAAGTAAACACTAGGAACAAACAAAAGAAAGTAGTAGCTAACAATAAGTAGACAAGATAACTAGATCAGGCAAGACAAAACGCTCAGTAGGGATAAGCTACAAGACAAGCTCACTTGGAACAAACCAGCAAAGAAATGAGAATACATCTAGTACTACATAAAACAAAGCACACGAGAGACAGGTGAAAACAATCAAGATAACAAGGTCTAAATAAGAGAGCCGGGTAACGGAAAACACAGAGGAAAGACAAGAGGAACTGATGGTCAACACAAATAAAGGCAAAGCAATGTAAACAAGCAAAGGACAAACAGGGAAACATTAAACACAGACAAGACGGACAAAACTGTCAGGTCAGAACCATGACTATAAATACCTTTACACTAGGGGTGCCCAAACTCAATCCTCCCTGCTGAAAAATCCAGCTTAAACCAGCCTAGGCTGGTTTTAGCTGGTTGACCAGCAAACTGGAAAATGACCAGCTATATCCAGCTAAAACCAGCTTGACCACCCTGGTTTAAGCTGGACATAGCTGGATTTGGCTGGGCTCCAAGCCTTGCTCGGCTGGTCAAGCTGGTTTTAGCTGGTCATCTCCCAGCCTGACCAGCTAAGACCAGGCTGGAAATGGCTGGAAACCAGCCTGAGAATGGCCAAAACCCCTCTAAAACCAGCCTGGTCGACTAGCTAAAATAAGCCAATCAGCTTAGGCTGGTTTAAGCTGTTTTTTTTCAGTAGGGCTGGAGGGCCGATGTTCTGCATAGTTTACATCCAACCCCAATCAGACACCTAGGTTGGCTAATCAAGCTCTCTGCGGTCACATTAGAGTTTGAGCATGCGATATTCTGTCGTGCTGCGCTGCGAAAAGGGGCGGGATTATTTAAAGATTATTAGACATTTTAAAAAGCGAGCGATTGCTCCATGTTTTAAATTTCTGTCCAGAGAGGTCATGTTTTGATCCTCGATTGGTCTCACGCAGTCAAGTGATGCGATTTCGCAGGTCAGAGTTCACCAAACTTGAACTCTGCACCGCAGCAACCCGCGAAACATGGCGCATGACCCTGCGTTTCCGGTCTGAAGCATTCGACTCTTAAGACAGAGACGCTTTAGACTCTGACTATTGATCATTTTAATGCATCCTTGCTGAACCCAAGAATTCATTTAAACTTTATATGATAGTGTATAGACCACATATCATCAAACTGCTGGACCATATCTCATTATAATACTTTTTTTTTAGTTGTGTACAGGGGCAGACTGGCCATCTGGCAATTCTGGCAAATCCCAGAAGGGCTGGACCATTTTTTAAATGTGGGCCGGTATGCTACTTTTTTTTTTTTTTTCCTTTTTTTTTAAAGTATTGCTTTTACAAACAGGCAGTTTTTGTTTCTTGCAAGATGTGAATATTATGATGATGATAATGATAATGATGATGATAATAGTAATAATAAATGTTAAGCATTGGCCCAATCGGCAATGGCTAGCTAGTTTCGAGATGGGCTGACCCAATCAGAGGTTACGCGGACATAATCAAAATCTGGCAAACAAACAGTAGGTGCAACACAAGCTAATTGTCAGAGATGGACCGTAAAAAAAGGAAAGGCGGTGCCAAAAAGCTCAGAGAAACTTAAAAATTGCTCTAAAATCAGACGCTGCCAAATGCATAAAATTAGCTGAAATAGTCTCGAAAGTGGGCAGCACAATGGGTAGCGCTGTCGCCTCACAGCAAAAAGGTCAATGGTTCGAGCCTCAGCAGGGTAAGTTGGTGTTTCTGTGTGGAGTTTGCATGTTCGCGTAAGTTTCCTCCCGGTTTCCCTCACAAGTCCAAACACAAAATAAATATCTATTACGTATGGTGCTGCTTATATTATTTCACCATCTGTACACCAATAAAAGTAGTGAATGTGCGTGTCCGAGGGTGGGGCTGTGTCGGTGTGATAATGTGGGCTGGTGTGGCTAGACTGCCAGGGCTGATTTTTTGTCACAGTCCGCCCCTGGTTGTGTAAATGATCAAACCACTGCTTGTGTGATTCTCAGGCCCGAGTTCGAAGTTTCGTCACATCCAGGGTTCAGTTCTGCATCGGGACACTCACATCACTAACCTGCGCGGGCTTCACCTGACCACCCCAGGAGAGTGTGATGGATTCTGCGCCAATGGGGAGCGTGTGGCGGTTCCTCTGGCCATCGCCGGTGGGCAGATCGCCGTGTTTGAGGTGCGTCTCTACATATGCATCTCTTCTCCTCCAGACCTCAGGTTCATTAACAGTGTTTTTCTGCTGGATCTGTGTGTTTTTGCAGTTGTCCCAGCCTGGAAAGCTGCCGGACACAGCTCTGCCCACCATCCAGAACTCTGTCAATGTGGCCGACTTCTGCTGGGACCCCTTTGACCCTCACAGGCTGGTTGTGGGTGAGTTTTCATTGCCTTTTTTATTATAAAAATCATGTTTGAGTAGTGAAATCTGAACTTCAGCGCTGGTTTCTGATGTGTTTTTCTTAAAGCTGGTGATGATGCCAAGATCCGCGTGTGGCAGATTCCCAAAGGAGGCCTGCAGGAAACCCTGACGGAGCCGGAGTGTGTCCTGCGGGGTGAGAAACCAAACCAGCATATGTGACTCTGAACTGTTGTAGCTGTAGTTGTGCAGTGTGTGTGTGATTGACATTCGCTCTGACCAATGGCAGGACACACTGAGAAGATCTACTCTGTCAAGTTCCACCCACATGCAATCGGTCTGCTGGTGTCGTCATCATATGACCTCACTGTCAGACTATGGAGCCTGGAGACTGGAGAACAGGTCAAACAGCTCAGCGGACATCAGGACCAGGTCTGTTTGTACCTTCATCATTCATTCATCCATTTTTCCATGCATTAAGTCATTCATCTATCCATCCATTTATTCATCCGTCCATCCAGTTATTCTTTAATCAATCCATCCATCCGCTTATTGTACTGTCATCTAAATATCCTTCTATCATCCCACCACCATCCATTAATTACTTCATTCATCAGTCCATCGATCCATCCATCCTTCCATCCATCCATCCATCCATCTATTCATTCATCAATCCATCTATTCTATCATCCAAATATCAGTCTATCATTCATCGATCTATTCATTCATTCATTCATTCATTAATGCTTACATTCATCAATACAGCCATTCATTCTTTCTTTCTTTCGTTAAATTATTAATGCATTACTTCATCCATCCATCCATCCACCCATACATTCATTCATCCATTAATTCATCCATTTTTCCATCCATTAAGTCATTTGCCTATCCATCCATTTATTCATCCATCCATCCAGCTATTCCTTCATCAGTCCATCCATCCGTTTATTTTACTGTCATCCAAATATCCTTCTATCATCCCACCACCATCCATTAATAAATTCATTCATCAATCAATCCATCCATCCCTCCATCCATCCATCTATCCATCTATTTATTTATCAATCCATCTATTGTATCATCCAAATATCATTCTATCATTCATTCATTCATTCATTCATTCATTCATTCATTCATTCATTCATTCATTCATGCATTAATACATTCATTCATGCATTCATTCATTCATCAATACATCATTTCATTCTTTCCTTCGTTAAATTATTAATGCATTACTTCATCCATCCACTCATACATTCATTCAATTATCCACCCACTCATCCATTCATTCATTTATTCATTAATCCATTCATTCATTCATTCATTCATCCATTCATTCATCTATCAATTCATCTATTTATTCATTCATTCATTCATTCATTCTTTCATTTATTCGTCTATTCATCTATCTATCCACTTTCATTTATCCATTCATCCATAAATCTATATTTATCAATGTATCTATCTTTCCATTCATTCATTCATCCATCCATCCATCCATCCATCTATTGTTTAGTCATCTATTCATCGATCAGTTTTTGCGGCCATTCTTTTTTGTTTGTTCATTTATCAATTAATTCATCCATATATTAGCATCCATATATCCTTCTATCATTCTTCCATCCATTTCTCCATTTATCTGTTTTCCATATATTCGTCCATTCATCCATCCATCTATACATTAGTCCATTTATCCATCTACTGTATTATCCATTTTTCGTCTATTGTTTAGTCATCCATTCATTCATCTGTCAGTTTTTGCAGCCATCCTTTTATCTGTTTATCAATTTCCCCATTTATCAGTTAATTCATCCATCCAATTTTTCATCCACCCTTTCATTTTACATCCACGAACCTTTTCTTCTATCCGTTATATATTCATCCATCCATACATTGTCCCACTATTATCCATATATTCCTCTTTCACTCCTCTATCCATCCATTTCTCCATTGTCCGTTTTCCATCTATCTATCCATCTATATGATTTTCCATTTATCTGTTTTTCATGCATCCATCCATCCATTTATTCATTCATTGATGATCCATCTTTTATTTATCCATTGGTTCATTTTTCCATTTATCCATTTAACTAACTGTTCATCCATTCATCATGCCATTTAAGGATCTCTCAGATTTTGAATCCATCCCTTTATGCTTTCACTTATCTGTTTATCTGTCCAGCGTTTATCAGTCTATTGATTTTCCGTCCATCAGTTTTTGCAGCCATCCATTTATCTGTTTTTCTATCCATCTACCAATCAATCCATCCATCCATTTTTCATCCTTCCATTTACGCGTTTTCATATTCAACCAACCATTTTTCCTTCTGTCACCCATCCATCTGTTTTTTAATTGGTCTGTTTTCCTTCATCTGTCCATACATCATTTATTCTTCCATCTGTTCATTTTTTTTTACATTCAAACGTTTCCTGCCTGTTCATCCATCCATCCATCATTCCATTTAAGCATCTATCTGATTTTTCATCCATCCATCCATCTGTTACACCATTGATCCATCTATTGTTTATCCATCCATCATTCATTTAGAAAATTTCACTGATCTTGCATCCTTCCATCCAGTTTCTCCAGTAATCCATTCATCTCTTTATCCATCCATTCATCCATCTGATTTTCATCCATCCAATTTCATATCCATCCATTTGTTTTCCATCCATCTCTTCTTCAACCATTTTATCTATCCACTGTACAATATTATCCATCTATCCATTTTCTTCCATTCATCCATTGTTTGGTCATCCATCCTTTCATCCATCAGTTTTCCCATGTTTTTTTCATTTATGTTTTCCATCAGTCCATCATTTGTTCATCCATCTATCCTTAAATATATGTATGGAGTCAACTCTCTGTGTTCTCTCGTTCAGATCTTTGGCATGGCTTGGAGTCCTGATGGGAAACTGCTGGCCACTGTGTGCAAAGATGGAAAAGTGCGTTTGTATGACCCACGCAAGTCCACCTCACCCATCCAGGTCAGTTTAGCATCAGGTGAATGTTATTCAGAAACAAAATAAATCATCTATTTCACCATGTTTTCCTGACTCTCTCCTTGCAGGAGGGCCCGGGACCTGAGGGCCAGAGAGGGGCCCGAGTAGTTTGGGTCTGTGGTGGCAAGTTCCTGATGGTTTCAGGATTCGACAGGTACATTTAGCCCAAAATCATATTGGTGCTAACAGGTTTCTTTATGGCTCTATAATAGCTTTAATGGTTTATTTCTATAACAGTCGCAGTGAAAGACAGCTGTACCTGTTCTCCGCTGAGTCCTTGGCATCCGGGTCTCTGGCCTCTGCTCCTGCTGATGTGTCTCCCTCGACCCTCATCCCATTCTATGATCCCGACACCAGCGTCCTCATCCTTACTGGGAAGGTGCGCGAGTGTGCTTTAGACTTTAAATGACCCTTAGTTTACGTTATTTATACCCAAATGAATCTAATAATGTTCTTGCAAACTTTCAGGGCGACACTCGGGTTTACATCTACGAGATCGTGCCTGAAGCGCCGTACTTCATGGAATGTAGTAGTTTTAATTCCTCCGAGCCACACAAGGTATTGTTGTTGTTGTTCCAATATTCCTGATTATTAGTACAGTTATAGCTTTGATTTTTATGAAGTGGTGTCTAGGTCATAATTTACACCAAAGAAGAGCAAAAAATGTATTATGTTTCGCATAAAGAAAACAGAAAGTGCTATTCTGTGAATCTTAAAACTTCCCATTCTATCCATATATCTATATCCATCCATCCATCCATCCATAAATCTATATCCATCCATCCATCAAACAATCCATCCATATATCTATATCCATCCATCAAACAATCCATCCATATATCTATATCCATATATCAATCAATCCATCCATATATCTATATCCACCCATCCATCAAACAATCCATCCATATATCTATATCCATCCATCAATCCATCCATCTATGTATATATCTATATCCACCCATCCATTCATCCATCCATCCATCCATCCATCCATCCATTTATCTATATCTATCCTTCCATCCATCAATATATCTATATACATTCATCCATATATCTATATCTTTCTATCAATATATCTATATCAATCCATCCATATATCTATATCCATATATCTATATCCATTCATCCATACATCCATCCAAATATCTATATCCATCCATCAATCCATCCATCCATATATCTATATCCATCCATCCATCCATCCATCCATATATCTATATCCATCCATCCATCCATCCATCCATCCATATATCTATATCCATCCATCCATCCATCCATTCATATATCTATATCCATCCATCCATCCATCCATATATCTATATCCATCCATCCATCCATCCATCCATATATCTATATCCATCCATCAATCAATCCATCCATCCATATATCTATAGCCCCTTTCACACATACAGATCTTTCCGGAAAATTGCCGGCAATTTTCCGGAAAGATCTGTATGTGTGAACAGGTCCTTTTTGAAAATACCGGTAAATTCGTTCTGGCTATTTTCCGGAAAGAGAAGTTGTAACATTACCGGCAATTTGCCGGAATGCTGCGCTGTGTGAATGCAGAAGGAAGATTCCCGTAATAAGCGCGTGCACGTCTAGAACGTGCTGACGTGAGACGTCTGCTTTAGCCAATCACAACAGTCAGACGCATTTAGGTCCGTGCGGTTTGTGAGGATAAAAAACCTTTGAATATTTTTCCAGACACATTTAGCTGCTAGAAGTTAGTCAGATAACGTTTATATGTTCTTCTTAATGCCAACTGTGTAAATAATCATCGATTAGATGCTTATGATAAGCCGTTGTTTGTTTACCTTCAAGCTTTGCGTGTGCTTGTGAAACAGCCTGTGAGCGCCTGCACACGCAAATATTATGAACATCTCGACATGCGAAAGTGATCCTGCGAAAGTTGTTCACAATATTGATCATCCACAGAGTTTGTAATTTAGTCAAATGTTTACAAACACAAGCGCAGCCGTTTAAAGCTCATTTGTGGTGAATGATGTCAGAATTTACCGGTATTTTGGAATGGATGTGTGAATGCTCTTTTCCGGAAAATTTCCGTAACGTCCTCGCCTGTGTGAACAGCGCTTTTTTCAATATACCGGTAAAGTCGTTCCGGAAATTTTCCAGATATTTACCGGTATCACTGTGTGAAAGGGGCTTATATCCATCCATCCAACAATCCATCCATATATCTATATCCATCCATCCATCAAACAATCCATCCATATATCTAAATCCATCCATCTATCCATCCATCTATGTATATATCTATATCCACCCATCCATCCATCCATCCATCCATTTATCTATATCTATCCTTCCATCCATCAATATATCTATATACATTCATCCATATATCTATATCTTTCTATCCAAATATCTCTATAAATCCATCCACCATATATCCATATATCTATATACATCATATCTATCTATATCGATACATATATCCATATCTATTCATCCATTCATATATTTATATCCATCCATGCATATATTTATATAAATCCATCCATATGTCTATATATATATATATATATATACATATATATATATATATATATATCCATCCATCCATCTATGTTTATCCATCCATCCGTATGCAGTTGAAGTCAGAATTATTTATACAAATTTTCTTGCTCTGTTAAACATCTTTTGGGGACTATTAAAAAAAAGGGGGGGACTAATAATTCTGATTCAACTGTATCTATATCCATCTATCCATTCATTTATCTATCCATCCATCCATCCATAATTTCTTTCTTTCTTTCTTTTTTCTAAAGCTATTGGTTATTACTGTAATACTATAATAATATTCTTAAATACATTTTAACTATTTTAAATTCTAAGGAAATTTTAAAGAATTGTACCAGGTTTTCTTTACATTTCATTTTGCTAACATGTTCACATCTAACATGCTAGCAATCTCTCTACAGGGTTTGTGTTTCCTTCCGAAGACTGAATGTGACGTTCGTGATGTGGAAGTGGCTCGAGCCGTCAGACTCGGCAAGACCACCATCGAACCTGTGGCCTTCAGAGTGCCTCGTGTGAAAGTAAATGTTCCTCATACCACCATAACACATCCGCTGAAGAATATTCACTATTGACCTTATTTGGCAATGTGGAAGTTTGCTCGTTTTTGCGATTGTTTTAGAACTTGTGGGAGAAATGACAAGGATCAATAAACAGCAGAAAACGGTCAAACTACTTGCTCTACAAACAAGTGTGTTCATGACTATACATAAAAAGTAGAATAATATATGAATAAAATATCAGTTTGCAACATGAAGCATCATAGCGAGCCATTTTTTTAACATATATAATGAATGGAAGTAAAATTAGAGGGGACAAATGTGAATACTGAATGGGCAAATGTGAATATTTCATTTGTTTTTTCTCCACAGAAAGAGTTTTTCCAGGATGATGTTTTCCCGGATACCGCAGTGTGGTGGGAATCATCTCTGAGTGCCGCTGAATGGCTCTCTGGATCTGATGGACAGCACCGCAAAATCAGCCTGCGGCCCAAAGACATGACGCCCGGTACATCAACAGCACCAAACACATCTCTCTTTTATCAAAGATGTCCTAAAACTATTGAACAGCACCCATTCTTACTTTAAGACAATTCTGAAAAACTTTTTTGATCCACTTCAAATGCTGACTATAGAAGGGATGGGACGAAATATCCATATGCTGATTTATCGTGATATTTCTGGCTGCAATATATTATCGATATCCAAAGCTTGTCGGAAAGCTGTGTGCTTGTTTTATATTGTTGCAAAAATGTCTGTAAAGCATGTGCTGTTATCTTATAACTTTGATACATTTTTCCCCATCGGAGAAATTCTGATAGTGTGTCATACCAATATCGCAGACAGATATTATAATAATATCGTATTGTGATTCATCCTGTGGATCCTACTGTAAACTACCTGACAAAAGTCTTGTGGTCGATCTTGTCAGAACAACAAATAATAACTTGACTTCTAGTTGATCATTTGTAGAAGTGGCAGAAGGTCAGAAGGAAGATTTTTCCTATGAATCATCTGTTGAACTGCATCCCAATCATCACAAATACTGGAGAAGAGCTACTGGAACCGGCATGGACCCAAGATTCTCATAGAAATCAGTCAAGTTTGGTGAAGGAAAAATCATGGTTTGGGGTTACATTCAGTATGGGGGCGTGCGAGAGATCTGGAAAGTGGATGGCAACATCAACAGCCTGAGGTATCAAGACAATTGTGCTGCCCGATTACATTGCAAACCACAGGAGAGGGCGAACTCTTCAGCAGGATTGCGCTCCTTCTCATACTTCAGCCTGAAAGTTCCTGAAAGCAAAGAAGGTCAAGGTGCTCCAGGATTGGCCAGCCCAGTCACCAAATATGAATAATATTAAGCATGTCTGGGGTAAGAT